TATATATATATATATATATACCTACACATATACATATACATATATAATATACTAGGGTTGGAAGATTAATACTTTTTTTTTAAGAATAAAACATTGTGTTTTTTCTTAAATATGTTATTTTTATGCTTCAAATATGCTTTAAACAATACTATAAAAAAACATATCAAAAACATCAATTAAGCATGTTTTAAACTATTTAAAACATGCTTAATTGACATTTAAAATATTAGGTGTGGGAAAAAGTTCATGGCGTTTTTCCCGTTAGATGGCATTAAAAAAACGCCACGAACTTTTTCCCATACTTAATATGTTTTTTACCAATCCAGATACATACAGATGGGTATATACATATTGCATATATTTATTATTTTCTGATACCTCTGTAAATTGCTTTAAGTATTAATTGAAGGATTTTTTTATGACACTGTTCTTAAGCAACTTTTTTCCTCAGCACATTCTCGCATCGTTTCTTTCCTGAGAAATCGCGTGCTTGCAGTCAATTCAATACTTATCGGTGCACGTGTCACCTGGTCTACTTTCTTTGTGTATGCAGTCGTTACTTGTACTGCTTACTCACTGCAAATGGCTCATACAATCGCGCGAACTTTATCTTTTTCTTTTCGTGGAACAAGTGCTTTTATGCGATATTGGATTCTCCGATTCGTCATTTAATGACGCGCACTGTTGGATCGAAGTTGCTATAGCCTACGAAACTGCAACTATGCCGTTGAATAAATAAATCGAGCATTCATCTTTCATTTCTTTCAAGCTTTTCCGAATATGCGAAGTAGGAAACTAATATTATTCTTTCGGTAGTCAAGTTATTCTTTACCTCATGAAGTTGTGCAAAATTACAATTGAAGAAACAAGTAAAACATTTTTTTGCATTTTGAATAACTTTTTTCTTCTAAAAAAAAACGACAGCTAATATATATAATGCTTTTTAATAAATAATAATTTATTTAATTTATAAGTAAATAAATTTTACACAGTCTCTTTTTTATAGTATTGATATTCTGAGGAAAGAATTTCATTTCATAGAAATAATTGATAATTCGATCATTTTTCCAATATCTTTCAATTATCTAACGAATAAAAACGATATTTTGTACTTTCACAGTTTCATAGAAAATTAGAACACGGAGTTGTTTACTTTATTCCTTTTTTGTTATTCTGTATAAAATTGCTTTACTTCTATATTATAATACTTTCTTTTATAGATAAAATATAGTAAAAATTGATATTAAAATTATGTAAATATATCAATTATACATATAAAAGTATATATTAAGGAAAATGGATCGTTAACATTTTTTTGCGACTGAAGTATTATTTAAAATCTTGCAAAGTGTTTGAGATTTTCGCACGCAGATGTTTCTAATCTTTCTCGGGGCAGAACGCTATAAACCGAGATTGACATCGAATGAAATTGGCGGGGAGTAATCCGGGAACAAGTGGGGGAAATGGGTCTTCAGGAAATAAGAAAACTTTTGTTCCCGATCGGCCGTTACCCTCGGCATTGTGATAAGAGACGAAAGAGAGACGATCGCCGCCTCTCTTTTTTTCTTCGTTCGCCCGTTCACCATCCTTCGCTTTTTCCGATGCTTGCCGGCTGCACGAAGTCATTTTCTTAAGAGGGGGCCGACGAGATGCGTCGGGGCACGTTTCAAAAGCACCTGGTTTTCTCTTGCTCGATAAATCGTACATTCCTCTCGCTTCACTGCCGCCACGATCTCGTTATTTTCGTCCTACTAAGTATTTTTCCTTCTTCGGATCCTCCTGTGAGAACGTGAACTGCTGAACGATCGTTAAAGAGGATTCCTAATCACATAGAGATGCTTACTTTCTATTAACGAAACGTCATTTAAATATCTTTGCCTTTGATGTTGGTCTGCTAATTTGAATGTTCACCAAATCGGTTCATTTAATTATTAGTTTTATATAGTATTATTTATCTTTTATGTAAATATTTAAAAACACGTCTATTAAGCTGATAACAGAATTATTGCAGCATAATCGAGATATAATGCAGATATAAATTTAGTGATTTTTTTGTTGCTAATTTGTTGCTTTATTCGCGATTTTTATTCTTTATTCTTGGCTGATAAATAAAGATTTGATAAAAATAGGGACTGTGTCAACTTAAGCTTATAACCAGCACATAGAAAAAGATCAGAAAGTAATAAAACAAAACGTATCTCTTCAGTGCTATTTATTGCTAATTGATCATCGGCAAGAGAGAGTTGGTTGTACCTACTATTTTTTATTCAGAAAAATTATCCCGCATTATTATGCATTAGAATAATACAAGATAGTATTGTCATTAGATATCTTGATGAATTATATCTTTTTGACTTTGATACTTGATATTTTAATTAAATTACATGTCTTTCTGATTTTTTTGTCCCTAATTTTTGAAAACTGTCAGATATTCCACATCAGCATAATCCTATTTAAATTATAAATTCAATGAAAACTGTGATAGATTGTGTCTCTGATATTAATCAATAATGAAACAATAATGAACATAAACATTGAATTGTTTTTAAATTCTTATCAAAGATGTTAAACTGAAAAATGGTTAATAATAATTAGTAAATTATATCATTATATTAATATTAACGGACAGCAGTTTGAACATAGATCTGTAAAGTTGGCATTCCTAAATGAATTTTTTTAAATTGTAGAAGTCCAACAAACTTTTAAAACGGTTGTTTTAAGAAATAGATGATAACAAAATAAAACATTCATTAAGTTGATATAATTATAAGCAAATTAGAAATAAAAAAGCATTCAACTTTTATCTGCTTTTTATTTGATTGAGTTTATTAAAATTTAAATAATAAAAAGCTATGCCTAATATTTTTGAAGATATTTTAAATAAAATTTCTGGAAGCGCAGTTTGCAACGCTGCGCATTATTATGCCTGATTGTATCATGCGTTCTCGGCAATAATTGTTCCGTGTCGTTGCACTAATTGCACCTTTCTCTTCGATCGAAAGTAGATTACGTTGCGTGCAAGAAGTGCTCTCACCTTGAGTTTGAGAAGATAATCGTTACAATTATGCATGGTGAACACTGTCTCTTGCGTATAATGTTTCGTTCCTTGATGTTACGAATAGTAGTTACAATAGCAGACAAATGTCTACAGAAAGATAAAAAGTGAAAGAAATTTATAATTATTTTCAAGAGACAATATTAATTAGAAAAGTTGAATGCCAGGAGAGACAAAATTATTGTATGTAACTATTTTTATGTATTTGTAAATTATAAATATACTTTCAAATTTTTATCGCAATCAATAGAGAAAGAATTTGGCATTATATAAAATATCTTCTTTTTAAATGATTTTTTCTTCTACACATATAAATAAGAAATATATATGATAGGTAGAAGTTTTTTCAATACAACTTTAAAAATTTGAAAAGTTTATTGCTCTTTATGATATATTTCTTTATTATTTAGCGTCTCAAGTATGATAAAATATATATCGTCTGTTATGTTAATAATCAAATATTTTATTTATTTTGTTGTAGGCCTGGGAGAGGCTCAAGGAAGAAGCCACCTCCGCCACAATCGCCGGACAGCGCGGAAGAGGAGGAGGAGGAGGAGGAGGAGGTGGAGGAGGTGGAGGAGGTGGAGGAAGAGGAGGAGGAGGAGGAGGAGGTGGCGGGAGGAAGGCGCGACGGAGTCCGTAGTGTGGAAGTAGAGTAGGCATGTTGTCAGTCTTCCCGACAACAACGACGGGGACGATGAGGGTGGCGCGGTTGATGGTATCGCGGCCGCGTCGACGATGTTGGTGTCGCCTGTCGTTGCCGCTGATGCTGATTCTCATGCTATCGCTATCGTTGCCGATAACGCGCTCGTTACCGGCCGATATAGTACAGAAATTCCATGATCCAGAAGTGGAACGCATGAACCATCTGGTAGTGGACAAGAACACAGGCCGGGTGTACGTAGGTGCAGTTAATCGTCTCTATCAGCTGTCACCGGACTTGCTGCTGGTCGTAAAGGAGGTCACCGGACCTAAGGGCGATTCCACAGCGTGCTCGATGCTAGACTGCCCCCGTGAGGCGCAAAAGCGGCCAGTCGACAATGTAAACAAGGCCCTGGTAATCGATTACACCACTACGCGGCTCATCTCCTGTGGCAGCCTATTCCAAGGTATGTGCACGGTGCGCAATCTGCACAACATATCGGACGTAGTGCAGGAAGTGAAGGAAGCGGTGGTGGCAAATAACGCCACCGCGTCAACAGTCGCGTTTATCGCACCTGGTCCGCCAAATCCACCGGTCTCTCAGGTCATGTACGTCGGAGTGACCTTTACGGGTAATTCACCCTATCGCTCGGAAGTGCCAGCGGTGAGCTCGCGTTCCCTCGACAAAGACAAGATGTTGAACATCGCAGAAGCAGCAGTGACAACCGGTACGCGAATGTACGTTAACTCTTTGTCGCGCGAACGTTATCCTATTAACTACATCTACGGCTTCAGCAGCGGTGGGTTTAGTTATTTCCTTACTACGCAAATGAAAAATACGGAGACGCCGATCTATCTATCAAAATTGGTCCGTGTGTGCCAGGACGACGAGCATTATTATTCGTATACGGAGATACCGATTAATTGCACAAGTGACGAGCGTATTTACAATCTGGTGCAAGCCGCTTACGTAGGCAAGGCCGGTTCGGTACTTGCCGGCGATCTGGGCATCACCGCTCAGGACGACGTGCTCTTCGCTGTGTTCGCCGAGAGCGACGGGCCCAACAGTGACGTGCCGCGACCGCATTCAGCTTTGTGCGTGTACTCGCTTAAGGCGATTCGCCGCAAGTTCATGAGCAATATACAAAGATGTTTCAGCGGCGAGGGACAGCGGGGATTGGAATTCATCTCGCCGAGCCACAAATGCATATCAACGGTGAGTCATTTTGAACAGCTTAATTTAACCGCTGCTTCTTCTCCGACATGTACGCAATCTCGACGATGTCACTTGATATCTTACTCGTTGTCTGAAGAAAAACATAGAATATTTTTGAGCGTTATAAAAATTTAGCTTCGACCGCGAAACATTCCGAGATTTATGATAAATGTTTTTTTAAGATTTATCATGATGTGGGATATACATATATTATTCAATAGTAATTCTATCGCAATTAGATTTTCTTAAAAAGAAAACCTTAAATCTTTTTAATTTGTCAAGGAACTTACGTAGAGTACGATTTATCAATTTAATCGTGAAACTTGGATTTAACAAAACGCAGAGAATTGATTTATCTTGTGTCAAGAAGCGTTTTCAACTATAAATGTGTTGTTATTCACTGCCTCGTTGAAATCTCTCGTTTCTTGGTTCATTCTCTCCAATGTTTGCGGTGGATTGATAGTTCGTTTAAATGAATTGATATCTCGCAGTATATAGCTACTGCCGGCTAACAATAACTTGCGGAAGGTAGTGTGTACGGTACTCGTACGATAGCTCGGCACCGCGAGGGTATCAGTGCCATCGCTAGCTGGAATTATTATAACCACACGGCGTGGCGCATGGCAGTGCATTCGTGGTTGTCGAGCGGCTGAATGGCCATCAGATGGGAAAACCACCTCCCGTTGCAACAAGGACGCAATTCGTCCTCCTTGATTATTACGGCACGAATCAATCGGCCGCGTCTCGCAGGAAGTTCAGTTCTCTTTCTCACTCGTTCGCATTTACGTAACAGGTGGCATCGAAAAGCTTAAAGAAGGCAAGACGCAGAAGAACGCGAGTCTCGTATACAAAACGCCATATGCTCCTTTCACACGGGACTCGCGTCATTTGTGCATGCGAGAACAATCTTTCTTCGCAGCGTCCGCTTACGTAGGCTGTATCGATGCTTTTTATTTTTGTACCGAGAAATGTATGAAATACTTATTGTTACGCATAATGAATTTTAGACACGAACAAATGTTAATTTTACCGGAATCTGTCTCTGAAAATGTTATATTTATCCACCGTGTGCGATCTGTTAAATTGCACGTGTAATATTGCATTTAAACCATTATTTGCATTAATGCGGAAACACGCATCAGGATATTGTTTTATTTACATAATCGCGGAATATATCAGCATTATGTTGCAATTAAAATGTATATTGTGATTCGCAGTGATAAAGTGGATAAAATCCGTATATTTAACCGCGATTATTTGGCGAAAATATAGCAATGCGAGTTGAGCATTCGTTAGGAGCGTCACGAACTAATTTGATCAGTTCATGCAGTCGAAGTTTATTATTTTCCGGGAAAGCGATTGAATTTTTATTCATCTTTATGGTTTTTCAAGATCTTAATTGCCGCAATTAAAAATCTAATGAGACTGCGAATCCGGTGAAACCTTTCGCACGCATCGTCGACCAGTGCAGCGGATTTCATAATTTATTAGTGTACCAAGAGTATTTGATCGCCTTGCTGCAGAACGATTTTATTGCGCGCAGCTAATTACACAGCTATCACATTCCACTTTTTCCACGCGTCACAGGCAGAAACGCAATGAAAATGCGCCTCTTTTGCGTTCACCACGTCGTTTCTGTCCGCAACCACCGAGGCTATCTCCTCACGATCGATCGCTACCGATCGTTTGTCAGCGGTTAACCGAAACTTATACAAAACGCCGATGAGCTCTCGGTTTTGCTGACCGCTTTTCCTGACAATTCACGTATTTCGGAATGTTCTCGCGTATGAATTCTCTGAATTTGGAATTGAGTCTTGCTTTTTGAAAATTTGATTGGATAATGCTGTTGAATATGCATCAAATTTTGCTTGAAACTTATTATTCTTGAAAATCTTTAAAGCCTTTATAACAGAGATCTCGATCAATTTTTGTTGAAAGACAGGTAGTCCAAATTGGTTAAAAAATCCGCGTATAAAAGGAAATCTAAATCGCTCTGTGCATTCTTCCGACGGAAACCCTGGCGAATTGATTCCGCACGGATACACGCGACTTCGGACGAATTTCACGATTCATGCTCGTCTCAATAAGCGATCACGAGGAACGTTTCTCCCTATACATAGTCATATTGCGAAGTCATCCCTCGAAAGAGGGCGAAATAGACTCAATATTGAATTAGGTGGACATGCTTATTATTTGATTTTGTTAAATTACTTTCACCGGATGATAAAGATATGATTAATTATCTATATCTCTATTAATGTGGTGAAATTAATTTAACAAATCATGTATATAATATATATACACACATATAAAATATTATCCGTTAATGTATGTCTTTAATACTTTAGTTTGAACAAGCACGGAATAAAATTAATTCTACACGACACATAAAAGAATAAAATATTTCGGATTATATTCCTGCATTTTCTACGTACTGTTATTTTTAATCCACACTGTTGTTTTAGACCGAAATTCACATTTTTATTTTAAATATGCTAATGATTTTTGACGAGAAAGTTTTAATTTTGATTTTAGTAATTTATTTAAGACTGTTTTTTATTTAAGTTCGTGTATAGTATATAATGTATAGTGTATAATGTATAGTGTATAATAATCGGATCACCTCTCGTGAGCATCTAAAAAGGGTTAAACTGAATTGCAAAGTCCTTTACATTTTGCGAACTTTGAAATAATTAATGAGATATTAATTAATAAAGATCTGCGAATAATCGTGTGTTTGTGCGGAGATATTCCAACTTTACACATGGTACTTGTTAAGAGCGCGATAAGATGTTTGGAGACATGTTCTACGAATAGTACAAGTATAGTTATGAATCGTTCTTCTCCTAGTTAATGTCATTCACAGCACATCTCCAAACATCTATTCTTAACAATCATAAACGCGCATCGTTAAGTTTTTTTTACGGATACATATTTACTCGTAGACTTTTATTAATTAATATTTTTAATTATGTGAAAGTTTGAAGCGAACTAGCACTTTTTTTTATTCAATTTCTATCTCCTCACGAGATGTGATTTGATTACTATTATCGGATACCCTGTATCATATGGAATAGAATTGAGAAATCATATATTTGACAATAAACGATAAAAATATGAATTTACTAACATTTAAAATTATCGAAATATCTTCATTTTTAAAGAGTCTTTATTATTAGAAATCTTTATTGCATAATTGGTTTCACAAATATTATTTATTCTTTTTTGCGAATAATTCACGATTAAAAATATGCTTTGACAATTTTTATTTCAGTCAATTTATCGTAAAAATTCTTTGATGAACATAGAAAGAATATTGATATTCTTTTATATCTGAAAATATTCGTTAGAATTTTCACAAATTGATTTCTCTCTTGTCTTGCGAGAAAGCAGTATTAGTGAATTGTACAATTCATCGTTATTTGTACTTCGCTAGCGCTCAATCTCAGTTTATCAGGAAATGTCGCGACGATTTCTCGACATATGTCGATTTATATAAATTTCACATTCTCAACGTATCCAAACCAAAAGCCACAATAATTTTATATATAAAACAGTACATGTCTGACGACGTGTAAATAAAGAGAAGTAAGAAGAAGTGTAATACACTGATTGAATGAATTATTCTGAGGAAAAAGAATATAAAGAAATTTTGCAAAATATTCATTGAATACATTTATCTCAATTCTCTGATTTATTTTTACAAATTTGACAATCATTTACAAAAGAAGCCATCCGTTTTTCATATCAACACAACCATTTATCTTCGATATCAGCTAAACGATGTAAGATATTTATCTTTCTCTCACTCATAAAATACACCAAAGGTTTCTTAACGTTAGTTATTATAGCAAAGCTTGCCCAGATTTCGTTGCGCGGAGTGCATCGGCATGGCTTTCTCAAAATTTTACCGGAACTGTACTTAGGCCCGTTTCTATTAACTTTAATCCAACTTATTCTTTTATCTTTTTCTAATTCTTAGAACTGGAAAAAGATGAGGAGTTAATTAAACCAAGATTAAAATTAAACTATATTGATAGAAATGGCCTTCGAGAACCGTTTTCAGTGCTCGCTTAAAGATGCGGAACACTCCGCAAAGTCTAGCGAAATGATATTCACGACGCCGCGCGAGATTTATTCAAATTTTCTGCATTTCGTCTCGCTTTCTCTTTCTCTCTTTTCTTTCATCGTGAGAACGTATGCCGGAACACAAAGGATTTCTTTGCGTAGGAAGGCGAGAAAGAGGCACAGAACCTGCTGAGAGTTAGTCGCCGGACGGAGATAAGCGGGCAACCATAAAGAAGATAAAGATTGTTTGTTTGGTCTAGCCGACGACGAGCTACCGTGGGACAACGTTCGTCTTTCATTTTTATTTTCTTTTTTTTTTCTTTCGTCATTCTACTCCGGTCGACTCTTGAGCCGGCTCCTCTTCCTGTTCCTCTTCCTTTATGTCTTATTCGAACGGACAACCGCAAGATTCCGGTGGAACGGAAACGTACAAATTCACCGGATGTGTGTGTCCATCTGACTGATCGAAGATCATGTTTAATATTTGTGTATCTTACAATTAAACTATGCGTGCTCTTTTTTCTCTTTTTTCTTTTTCTCTATAAAAAAAAATATATTAAAAAATCAGAGTAACGAAATATACATATATTCTGAAACTTAAAAGCTATATTTTTTCGAATATATCTATATCTTTGTTTTCTATAGTCC